TCCATATTTGGCATCTGGGTCTCATGATAGAATCATCTGTTTTCCAATGGATTTGAATAGTTCTAACTTTCCGTCTTTGCCACATGTATCACAGCTGCACTTGATACCTGTGGCTTACTTTGTGCTCCTTGGTTCTAGCATCTCAAACACTCTGGAGTCTCCATTGCAGCTTAGGATTAACCTTCAAAGCTTCATATGATAGCCTAGTAGGGCCTTCTTTCAGAGACTCTAGCATCAGGGGGACTATGTAGAGTCCCCTGGAACTGTGGCCCAAGACTCCATGAATCCTTCAATCTTGTATTTTTTCTTGTCTACAAAACTATGTGGATGGTACTTGCAAGTTCTGCTGCTGCCTCAGGATTGAGCCAACCACCCTGGGCTACAGTCACATTATCATTTTCAGTTTGGGGATCTCCTCTCTCAAATGAATTTTTATTTCCACTAAGCGGGGACTTTGATGGCAAGGCCTTCCCCTTGGATCACCTTTCCTGTTGTCCCAGTGCAGAGATCCATGTTTCTCTTTAAGAGTGTTAATCACTAGCAAATACAGCTGTTTTTAAACCTGCTTTGACTGTAACTTTAAACTTACCTATATTCTTTCTTTCACCTAATTCTACAAAATTTTCATATTTTTCTGGTTTGCTTTTAGTCCCCCTCCCCCCATAGACCTGAATGAAAATGGTCAGAAGAAACAGTAGCATAATACGAACATTGTTGTCCTAGTTGGGTTTACCATTGTTGTGATAAAACACCATGCTGACAGGAAACTTGGGAAGGAAAGGTTTTGGGGGGGCTTACACTTCTGAAGTCATCACTGAAGGAAGTCAGGACAGGAACTCAAATAGATCAGAAGTCTGGATGCAGGATCTGATGCAGAAGTCATGGAGGGATGCTACATAATGGCTTGCTTTCCATGGCTTTATCAGTCTATTTTCTTACAGAACCTAGAACCACCAACCCAAGGAGGCACCACCTACAATGCCATCAATCACTAACTTTAAAAATGCCACACAGGCTTGTCTACTGCTGAATCTTATGGAGGTATTTTCTTTTGGGCTCCCTCCTTTCCCTAAACCCCTGAGTCCATTTGTTGTTACCAATATTTGTTTGAGTTTAGGGCCATCCTACTGGAGTGTTGAGCTTTGGGAAACCTACCTGGGCTACATCATTAAAGAAAATAGGCTCTTCTTTCCCTAGGAGATATCAATTACAAATAGCTTCTCAGCTATGGATGAAACTTCATGGTTCCTCTTCTACTTATACCAGAATTGTGTCTGGCTTGATATTGTAAAGATATTATCCATGAATCCACAGCCCCTTTGAGTTATTATGTACATTGCCTATTGGGTTCAGAAAATAATATTTTCCAGCAGTCCTCTGCAATCAATGGCTCTTATAATCTTCCCATTCTGTCTTCCACAATGACCCATGAGCCTCAGGAGGAGCAGTGTATATAGATAACCTGTTTACACGTGAATATCCAAATTATCTTATTCTTTTCACTCTGACTAATTGTGAGTATCTGCATTAATCACAAAATACTGAAAAAAGGAACTTCTCTTCTGAGAGCTGAGATACACTAATCAATGGGTGTAAAGATACATTTAGAGGGCAGTTAACAATGTCCATTTAGCAAGATGATAGTAGTAGATTCTTCCCTGGGGCCTATGACCTATCCAAAGGCATTCTTGAACAATTAGCAGTTCTAAACATGTATTTCATCTTGTGGGACAGGTCTAAATCCAAATATAGAGTAGCTGGTTACTCCTTTAGCATTCATGCCACTATTGCACCAATAATCTTATCTTTGCCAGACTGGTTGTTAATGTAGTCTGAATAGTTTACAAATGGTTAAGACTGTTGATTGCCTTGCTTAACCAACAGTCTGCATAGCATTTGCTGGCACTATGAAAGCTAACTAGTAAGGATGAAGCTTCCAAGTCAGTAACAGCTTGAGTTCTCTGTCCTGGGATTCAAGTATGTGGTACTTTCAGCAGTGGTGTCTTATCTTCAAGTTCTCGTGGATAGCCTAGAGCAATAGAAATAGTGTGTATTTTGGAGGACTCTATAGGACCCTCTGACTAACAACTGAAAGAGAGGAAATCTATGCCAGAGACAGGGCTTTTGTTGATAGTTTATGGCATCTGGGAGAGGCATTAGACTGACTTAAACTGACTTTCCTCCCCTCCCCTCTCCTCCTCTCCTTTCCTCTCCAAACCTCTCCTCTCCTCTCCCCCACTCTGTGTCATGTGTGCTTAAGAAGCTTGTAGAGGAAGTGTGCTTCAACCTTTCTGCATAGGCAAGGGTTTTTCTAAGACTCTGATATCACAAGAATTAAGACTAACAATTAACAAATGGGACTTCATAACTATAACATTCTGTATAGCAAAGGAACTATCTACCAAGTGATGATGCAGTCTGTGGGATGGGATTTTTTTTTACCAACTACACACATGACAAATGATTCATGTCTAAACTAAACAAAGCAATCAGAAAACTAAACACCAAGAAAAATTTAACATAGGCCCTGGTCCAAATGATATAACGGACTTTGAACCCCGATGAAAGGCCTCATCCTCCCTGGGGAGCAGAAAGGGGATGGGATAGGGGTTCGGTGGGGGCAGGGGAGGAGGGGAGGGAGAGGGAACTGGGATTGACATGTAAAACAAGCTTGTTTCTAATGTAAATTTTTAAAAAAGAAAAATTAACAACCCAATTTAAAAATGAGCTATGGAATTGTACAGAAAATTCTCAAAAGATGAAATACAAATGCCTAAGAAATGGTATACAACATCCTTAGCTACTGAGGTAGTATAAATTAAAATGACTTTGATATTTTATGTTTTCACAATCAGAATGGCAAAGACTAGGAAAACAAACAACTAATGCTGGCAAGGATGTGGGGCCACAAGGGGCACTGTTAGTGGTGGTGATGACTGTAGTAGCCCCTGTGGAAATCAGTATTGTGGTTCCTTAACAAACAAAAACTAAACAAAACTCAGCTAAGACTAGAACTATTTGACTCTGCATCTACTTTTGAATATATTTCTAAAGGATTCTATATCCTACTGCAGACATACTTGTTCACCCATGTTCATTGCTGCTCTGATTATAATAACTGGGAAATGGAGACATCCTAAATGATTGCCGACTGGTAAATAGATAATAAAAATGTGATATTATACACAATGGAATTTTATTCTGCTGCAGAGAAAATGCAATTATAAAATACACTGGTAAATCAATGGAACTGGAAATACTCGTTCTGAGATCTGTTCTCCCTCTTGTGTGGATCCTAGATGTGAATCTTAAGATATATGTCTTTAAATTAGAGTACCTACAGAAGTCAGAAAGGAACCATAGGAGGGTATTAAGAGATGGAGGATAGTAGAACACAGGCGGCAGGAAAAGGGATAGTGGGCTAATGTGTGTGTGCATGGGGGGGGTTAAGTGAGAGGGGGAGACGAGACAAATAAGGGAGCAAATGGAGGGATAACAAACACTAAACATCTTTGGGAATGCCATATGAAGTGCTCTTGACTAATTATAATTGTTCTTTCCTCTCTGTCTTTGAAAATATTTATACACAGTTAAAATCACAGGAGCTGGGCAATCCCATTGTAGATTTCTATTGATTACTATATCTTTTTTATTGATTACTAGTTTCTTTGATCATATCTTTCTATTTCGTTTTGTATCTGATCATTTACTTTATAATCAGAATCTTGGGTGGAACACTCTAAAAATGTTTCCTTTTACTATGCATCTACTCTAGGGTCCCTGAACTCCATTTAAGACTCCCTCAAGGTAACAGATTAATGTTCTCTTTTTAAAATCTTGTCACTCTGTGTTGTATGGACTGAAGAGTGTTCTCAAGCAGCAGGTAAGGCAAATCTCTCCCATAACAGTCACTATTTTGAAAGAATTGTTTCACCAGTAGTTTTTTGCCTACATTTGGTGATTACCTGGTACCTTCACGTAGGTTTCCCCTTTCTGGAATTTATTATTTTACAGAAATGTTTACCTAATACAACCTAGTCCAGAAAGAATTACAGTGGAGTATAATGGGACCTTCCAAATTGCAGGTCACCTTTCTTTATTAGGTGTAAGATGATTTAGACTTTCTATTCATTCTTGTCTCAGATCTAATGAATTGTGTTCTGTTGTGGGAATTGGTTCTGATCAGCTGAATAGACCAAACATATTAGCACAGAATTTTTCCCTGTAAAATCTCATATACTTTCTAAAGGTGAAATATTTGGGTTTGTTCAGAACTAAATAGAAAGCTAGAAAGGCTTTGAGGCCCTACATAAATTTGTATCCCTCCAAATTCTTTTTCCTTTTCTGTTATTTTCTGCTTTATTAAGAATCAAACCTAGTTCCTTTCACAGGTTAAATTCATATTCTACCATTAAGCTCTATCTCAAACACCTTAAAATTCTTTTAAAAATATTTTGTATTACTAATTTATAAATAAGCCATTTATTCATATATGTAAATATGTGTCATGTGTGCAGAAGGAAAACTAGGGCAAAGGAGATTAGTTGGAGGTGGGGAGGGTGACTAAAGGGAAAGAAGGGGGACAAGGTGACCACAGTCAAAGAATATCATTTGCTTGATGGGAACTGATATGTGATATTCAGCATTATGCACATTGAATAGATACTAATAAAATATGCTGAAAATTAAATATGGAGCATTTGTGAGATGTTTCATATGTAGATATTATATTATGGAATTTATGCTTTCTTATGTTGCCCTCTTAACATCACCTTTTTTGTTTGTTTGTTTTTGTTTTTTTGAGACAGGGTTTGTCTGTGTAGTTTTGGAGGCTGTCCTGAAACTCACTCTGTAACCAGAGTGGCCTCAAACTCACAGAGATCTGCCTGCCTCTACCTCCTGAGTGCTGGGATTAAAGGCATGTGCCACCAACCCCTGGCATTTTTGTTGTTGTTGTTATGTTTGTAGTGAGAAATCCATATACTTCTGTTTACGGGTAATAAGGATTTATTTAGATACTAAACAGGGAAAAATACAGGATATGGTAAATCCAGTTGCAAAGTCCTTGGAAAACTGGGGACTGATCACACCTGCTTTCTGCTGCCTGACCTAGTCTTCACCACCCAGGAGAGTGCAATCTCCTCCCTTCTTTCTTTTTAAGAGTTCACATCCTCAGATAGAAGCACGGACACTATCAGGCCAGATAGTGGAACAAATAACCAGTTTACCTCCCCCTTTGTGTCTAAATAAGAAGGTTATAAACCTAATACAAAACTATATACAATAAGAATGATTATCAAGTATTGTCCAGGAGAAAGAAAAGGTAATAACATAAGCAAAAGTGGAACTACAACAATAAGAACAACATCAAGTAAGAAACACATATTAAATGTCCAGACCATAGGTAAATGATAAATTATAGAGATTACTCCAATATCTGTCCTATCCTGAAGAATCTGAATCTAGTACCTGATATTTTCTTAGTTAAGATATGAGAGGATAATAAACATAACTACAGATTTTAATATTTAAAAGTAAAAAACTCTTAAAAATGTTTTATAGATTTTGGTTATAAACACTTAAATTTTCTGATTTTTTTCTCCCAAATATCATCAACTCTATGTTAACAGGCTGACTTTCTCTCTACCTAAATTATATATCCCGAAAGTTGCCTGTCTTTTGCCTTTTGCTTTTCTAATAAAAAAAAACTTCTGAAAGTCACCATGAGATTCAAGTATAAGTAAACTTGTATCTAATTCTTTAAAAGTGGTATTCATATGAAACATAGCTTTAGATATTTTCTTAACCAAGTGAATGTTTATTTAAAATCAAACAAAAAATTTAAAATATAGTTGAGTGCATTTTAATTCTTAAGTTACAATCCCTGGTAATCTCATCTGAGAAGTAGACTTTTACTTGATACTCAAAAGGAGTAAGCTTTCATACGCTTCTCAAGTATCCTTTTGTTCGTTTCACTTGTCATATCCCATAATTCAGTTATCACAATACACCCTTAATTCATTGTTTGAAACCTATACTTAATTTTATGCACTTAAAATAACCTCGTGTTTTCTTTTCCATTCAGAAAATATCAATTTCACCATTTCTGGTTTCTATCAAGGACTGAGGTCAGATAGGAGGAATGGGGTGAGAGCCCTGTCTTCTTCTAGTGAAAGAACTGCCTTCGTTTCTCTCGGTGAGCTTTCTCTTTCTTCAAGCTTTGTTCCCCAGCACTGAAACGGGAAACACAGAAACAGAATAAGAGAGATAAGGAAAGAGAGAGGGGAAGGAGAGGAATAACTGAGTGTCCTGGGACTGCTGGGCATGCTCAGGAAGCTTGCAGCAATAATGATGGGAGTGTGGCATGAGCGTGAGGTGTGATAAAGGGTGTGGAACCTTAACTGTGAGTCAATCATGAAGAACGGAAGGCCACATGCATATTTTAGGAACAGCCTTTTATGTTTATTCTTACGAGTTCTTGATGTCTGCCAGGGTCATTCCTGATGAAGTTGATATGACAGGGAGATGTGGGTTCAATATAGAAGGACAAGAATCATCTATTCTAAGTTAAATCACAGTCATGTGTGTGTGTGTGTGTGTGTGTGTGTGTGTGTGTGTGTGTGTGTGTGTGTGTTATACTGAGCATCTCATCATGCAAGACACAGTCTGGGTACCAGACCTCTTTTAGACATGCCTGGGTAAGAAATGGTTACCTTTTCCAAAGATGATTTGGAGTTTGAAAAAAAAAACACAGCAACAGAATTCCCAGCAAAGGGTCTTTGTAGGCCAGCCAGAGCAAAACTTAACATTTTCAAATTACTAGAATTAAATCTATGTGAGTCATGGACAGCTGGGAATTAAGCTAGGAAGTTAGTTTCATTACATGTTACTATGAGATATCAGAAGGAAGAGAATGAGGAACTCTAAAATGAACAAAACAATGGACTGTAGAAGTGGCTGGAATTGGCATGGGAGAAATGTGCTGTCCCATAAGCTGTGCTAGTTTTCAAAGCCTAAGCTGTCTAACCAGAGCTGAAGCCTCTGCTAAAAGCATGGGGGAGTCAGGATGATGTTTGCAAGCTGAAACTTGGGCCGATCTGGTGGTGGAATGACATCATCTAGAACATGGAAGTGTCTACCTAACCTGTTTGGCTAAAATTAGCTCTATTGTGATAATTAAAGCTAAAAGGCCCTAAAACTGAGAAGTAACCCCAGCTGTTCTGCATTCCCTTTGTGTTTCCATAGTAGCGATTGGTGTGGTGTGGGAGAAAACAGTGGACCCAGAACACTTGCTTCTAAATCCTAGCCCTCTTACCAGCTAGCTTGAAATTAACCCTGGGTGTCCTCAGCTACAGAGTGGAAACAAGAGCACTTACCAACATGGCCATTACAAATGACCTAATGACAATAAGGATTCCTTGTAAAGGCTGTTCAGATGTTAGCTGGTGGCACTGACCAGTGAAGGTAGGCATCTGTGGAGCTGTGCTGTTTGCTGTGTAGTAGCCACCACAAGTGACTGAACTGTGGCTTGTCCAGAGAGAGATGGGCTGCCAGAGATGATACAGAAGCATAATTAGCTCATTTACATGATCAAAGTTTGTATGAACTCACAGAGACTGAGGAAGCACGCATAGGCTGCACAGGTCTGCACCAGGTCCTCTACATATGTACTGTGACTTCTAGTTTAGTGCTTTTAATGAGATTCCTGAGTGTATGAATGAGTTGATCTCTGATTCCTGTGCCTTCTGTTGGGAAATTTTCTGTTTGACTGTCATGTCCAGCTCTGATATAATAGTTTTAGTTTTATCTTACTATATTTTTGTTATATTTTATTATTGTCTCTTAGAAAAATCTTCTGTTCTAATGAGAGGCAAGAAGGGAATGGATCTGGATGGGAGAGGATGTGGGGAGGGACTGGGAGGAATAGAGGTAGGGGAAATCATAATCAGGATATATTATGTGAGAAGGTAATCTATTTTCAATAAAAAGGAAAAACAGTTCATTCATAATATTTTTATAACTTACATGTGAAAGTATAGCACTTTAACTATATTGGGTAAAAGGAAATAAATGTTAAGCTCGCCTATTTTTGAACCTAATTTAATATAATTACTAGAAAATTTTACAGCATGTGTGTGGCTTCTATCTGGGGCTTGCGTTATGCTTCCTGCAGGCAGTAATATGCTAGTGTATTTCCCATTCATGAAAAAAGTAATAATTGATGCAAGGAATTTGAAGCTTACCTTTGAAAATAAAGGCAGAAATATGTGAAAATTGTATTCATGTCTTATATTCATCCATTTAAAAATTCACTTTGCTAGCACGGGATGAGTCACTTCAAGGCTTGACTCTGTAGACTAGACCCTACAGACACCCACACCGTAATCATGGATGAGACAGAGAGTTGGTACAGTACACAGCCTGTCAGGAATATCTTTGAGGGGACTGAAGAGATGACTCCACAGTTAAGAACACATAATACCCTTGCAGAGAACCCAAGGTCAGCTTGCACCACCTATATAGGGTGGTTCACAATCATCCATAACTGCAGTTCCACAGGACCCAACAACTTCTTCTAGTCTCCTAGGATACCAGGAATGCACATGGTGAACATGCATACTTGGAGGCAAGTGTTCGCATACACACACACACACACACACACACACACAGACACACACACACACACACACACACACACACAGAGAGAGAGAGAGAGAGAGAGAGAGAGAGAGAGAGAGAGAGAGAGAGTAAATACATCTTTTTAAGGAATGCTTTTTAAAAGAATGTCTTTGGAACCAGGTCTGGTGTCAGGCCTGTAACTGCAGTCGTTCTGGAGGCTGAAGCAGGAAGATCACAAGGTCAGGCTAGCCTGGGCTACAGAATGAATTCCAGGCCAGCCTGAGTAACTTAAGGAAAGCCTGTTTTGGTCTGGGAATAAAACTGGGTTCAATCTCCAGCACTGAAAATAACAACTGTGCTGGTTCTTAGTATCATTTGATGAGAGGTCCCCAAATATATGAAGGTAAGAGCAGACATAACCTCAGGAAACTGATCTGAAGGTTTCCTCTGCTGCAGACAGGCAAGGCTGCCCTTACATATTTCAATGTTGCATGTGTCAATGCTGCATGTGGACCTAGAGAAAGAGTCAGCTTTCAGGGAACCCTGTTATCTGAACCTGTAAATATATGATGCTCAGGAGGCCAAGGTCTTAGACTTGTTCCCTGTGTGGGTCACTTCACTCTGCTCTGGTCCATGTCTCAGACTTGCCCCCTGCAACCTCAGTTGGCTGCCTTGTAAATACACTTTGGCTCACTGGGCAGACAGAGCAGGGGCATATGATGGAACAGGGCACATCTATCACCGCTATGGCAGCAGCTGAAAACACATTCTCCACCATCAGCGAGGACTCTCAGAAGAGTGCTTAAAACTCAGCATAGCACTTTGTACAGGGACCCAATTCAAGGCATCTTGTGCTAGCACACGTAGACCTGAGCTCATTGACCTGGGTAAAGTTAGTATAGCAACAATTCTAGACACCATAGCTTCTGGACAGAGCAGAAGGACACAAGCAGCATTCATGGGACTTCAGTCTTTTCTAAAGATAGCGTTGCCAACTAGCACATTGGGCCTCCTGGTATGGCCTATAGAGATTGTTTAGACTTGGAAATATGGGCACCTATTTCTCGAGTGACCTGTCTGCTGGCAATATTTACATCCACGGGCATATATAAAGGTGGTGTGTTTTAGTTCTAGGTTGAAGCTCAATCCTATGCTCTTCGCTGACAGAAAGGCTGGTCTGGAATCTCCAGCTATACAAATAAATACTGTAGCAAAACCTAACAGGAAGACCCTCACTACCCAATTTCTTCCAGATGGCAGTGATGGATGGCTGTATGTTTATGTTTACTCTGTTTCCCAGGTGACTGATGTCCTGGTCATGGTTTGATGAGCATTTCTTGAAGATGTGAGCCGCCTACTCCAGCTGCCCAGCTCTTGGCCCACTGGTATATCCCACACTCAACATTGTCAAGAGGCCATTGGGCCTCTTGGATGTTTAGTTAACTCTTCACTTGCCAATGGTTCTCTAATCATTTCTTGTAAGTGTCTGAAGCAAAAATAAAGTATAGAGCACTGAAAAGAATTTCATGATAGGCAGAATAATGTCTCCCTCCCCTTAGATTTCTGCACCTTAATCTCAAGAATCTACAGCATGTTACCTTCCATAGTGAAGGAGAATTGGAATTGCAGATAGCACAAAAGCTACCGATCACCAGCCTCTACAAAAGGAGACTATCTTGGATTGCCAAGTGGACCCTATGTAACCAGGAAGATCCTCAAAGGTGAAAGAGGGAGAAATGATAGGTAAAAGGGCTTGTTGAGACTGAGTTCAATCCCCAGAATCCATGTAAGATGCTGGATGTAGTAGTGTATGAATGCAGCAGTGAAAACAAGATAGGCCTTGCCTCAAACGCAAGGTAAAGGTAAGGACCCATTCTCAACAGTTATCCTCTGACCTCCATGTCTGCACTGTGGCATGTACTGTCCCACACACCTACACAAATGCAACTTAAAAGAGAGAGGCAGACCAGGGCGACGTGATGTGAGTGGGACTCAGACTGTGATTGGTGGAGGAAGTCATAGCCTCCAGAACTTGGAATATTTAAGTCCCCAAGTACACAATAATTTTTATTGGTAGTGGTAAATGAGTTCGACCTACACAGACCTACAGAGGGTGGACATGAGTGTGGCCTCCAGACTGGTCTCTCCTGCAAAATGGGACCTGCCAGAATTGCCTTCCCATGGACTCTCAGAGGTGGGGCACTTACATTGGTTCTCAAAGAGTTTAGGAAAGTGTAAAAGTATTTAATATTTCATCAGTCCCTTCTGATTCTGAGTAGAGAGAAAAGGTATTATGGGTGTTGGCATCTAGAAGACATTGATTGGTTCAAATCTTAGCTCTGCTGTTGAGAATGTCTGTGTCCTTGAGTGAGTTGTTAGCCTTATAGTTGTTTTTAATGGGACTGTTCACTTACCTCATGGAGTTGCTATAAAGACCAAATAATGTGTGTACAGCACTTGTCACAAGGCCTAGGTTCATTAAAGCATGTCCCCCTTATCTTATTTATCCTTTCTTGTCGCATCTCTCCTATCCCCTCCACTCCTGTAGCCCTGGACTGAGTTAGTTTCTCAGTATCTCTTGCCATTACTGTTTCTGACAGTGGCTAGGGGCCAACTCAAGACTTGGATCCTGCTCCACGGCCTCAGAATTTCTTTTCCTAAGACAGGTGATCTGGTTAACATCTCTCCCGCTGCAAAACCTCCCATTGTCACTTCTTGCCTAAGGGTCAAGGCTCTTAAGCCTTTTGAAGGGTGTGCCTCCCTCACAGTTCCCTCTCCTACGGCAGCTAACCTGGGCTCCCTTCCCATCGGGCTTGCACTCATCCCTTTACCCCGTGGAGCTTACTTTTCCTTTTCTGTCTCTGTGAGCCCTCTCCCCTCCTTCACCTACAGCGCTCTCTTACTTTTAAGGTCCTTTTCACCTAATACCACTTTTGTGAAGATGTTTGTGACCCCTCTAAGGAGATAAGCAATGCCTGTACAGTTCTCACCATATGATGCACACTGCATAACTAAGGATGAAATCTGCAAGAGTTTTTGTTGACTGTGTCTGTATGCCTGTCTCTTCTATCTGTGAGGGCTTTCTTTTTTTCTTTTTTTGGCATTACAGAAAGAATGCATTTTGTTACTTCATTGCCCATATCTAGAATATACACTTGCTATAAAATACACTTGATATTTGTTTGCATTGGCATGAAGATATTGTTTAGTAAATGTTAAGTTTTAAAGTGGTTGCCAAGAAATTCCAACATACTTTTCAGCTTTCTGAGGTAGAGGACCCCAGGATAGTCCCTACATTGTGTTACATATGTAGGGGTTATTGAGAAACTTCATATTTATCTTGTAAGGATCCAAGGATCTTAATCTGGTTAAAATTCTTAAGGTTGGGCTTTCACAAAATAGGACTCAGGTCAAACCCACTCACCAGTCTAGATGGTGGTCTTTCAAAAGCTGAAATTTTCATTTCTTTTTTTTTCTTTTAGTAAAACATTTACCTTCTTTCTTAAAAGATAGGTAGATAGATGATAGACAGACAGACAGATAGACATACATATAATGAATTATTATCTCTATTATAGAGCAAACTGGTTCAGCACATTCTATTCAGGGAAGAAATATTCTGTTCACATTCACAGCGGGGAAAGCCAATTTTCAACCCTTTCAGGAGTTCAAAAACAATGAATGAACAGCTTATGGTTCTTGCCAAATGAACATACATTTTACAGTTCTCTTGGAAATTTACTAGACAAGTTATTTTTATTTTGTCCTACTTAAAAATCTTTGTCTTAAGCCACAGAAAACACTTTAGCATCCTTTTGTTTGCCCTTACTGCAACATGATGGTTTCTGGGCAACATATTTCAGAGTGCTTTTCCAGGAACATGTGTACATGCCATTCTCAAAGCACTGACAATGCAATATCAGTACTGGACTTTCATGTTTGAACAGCTTATGCAAATACTTTTGGTCAGATGACAAACAGAAGAGAAGTTCTGGTTGATTCCAAATTTAGAGGGTTTTTTTTCTGATATGAAACAATTAGGGTTTAAAAACTACATATTTTATTTATGTGGTGCCTTTCTCTTTTTGCCACAGCATTTGATTGACAAATCCAGGACTTGGATTCAAAGGCAAAAATGACCTTTCATGTGAGAAAAGAATTCTTTAAGGGCCACGGAGAAGTGGCAGGCTAAAAGAAATCTTACTGGAAAATGCTTCTTATATTTGCAGTGCCTAAGGAGATCCTGCCTTGACTCCTAAGAGCTGGTAAGGCCAAGAAGGCCAGACAGTCTTAATTGAAGGTCTCTTAACTTAATTGAGATTGGGTTTCAATCCCAGTCTTGGGAGAAGCATTATCTCTCTAACCATCTCCCTTGTCACTGCAGAAATCTCATTGAGGCCCGTTAGCTGAGAATAAAGGTCCCGTACCAAGTGGACCCACTCTTCCGATGCATCTTATACAGTTTTAAAGAGTACTGTTCACTCCTGGGATCCTTCCATGTGTTCCTGACGTGTCATGAAATGCAACTAAAACAGTGACCTTCATCTGAAGACTTGAGCCTCTGAGGAATCCAAGTGGGACAGATGAGGTCAAACTGTTACACTCCATGGTGAGCATACTATGTCTGCACTGCCTCGGTGTCAGAAACACATACTGACATGTCCATTTCCTCTGCTTTCCCAGTTTCACTGAGGACCACATTTGACAGTGACAACTTCTTCAGGGGTGGTAAGTGCCTGTCTTGGGTAATCTTGCGTCTTTGCCCATTATTGCCTTGGTTGGGCTACCTTACTGATGAGACAGCATCACACATTTAAAAATATCCTTGAAGGAAAATTCAGTTCAGGGAGAAAGTATAAAGAAAGTGCCTACTACTTTGCTAGTAAGGAAAATCTGAGTTGTGGAATTGTCAACAATTAGGCAGTGGGTTGACTGTAGAGAAAACACTAGAATATAGCACAAGAAAGTCAAAGTAGTGTGGAATTAATGAGGAAACAGCACAGAAACCAGGGGTTTAGAATAGTCCCCGAAAATAACTTCTCACAGAGACAGCAAGGCTGCAATTCTCCAGGCTCTGTTCCCATTTCACTCTTTGGACTTGCTCCTACCTTTGGTATTTAGTTATTGTGGCTGCTGAGATGTCTCACTGAGTAGAAAGAAGCTCTTGCTGTGCAAGACTGATGATTTGCAGAGTACACATAAAGGTGGAAAGTGAAACATATCTTGAAGGTAATCCAGCATGGGACTGATCAAGACCCCCTGAATGTGAGTGTCAGTGATAGGCCTAGGTAATCTATTGAGCCTTGGGCAGCAGATCAGTACCCATCCCGAGTATACACAAGGACTTTGGACTCCCATCCAACAATGTGAGGTGCACTCTTACCCTGAACTCTTGGGGAAGGGTCTAGGCCCTGCCCTATATGAAATGACAGACTATGGACACCCCCATGGAAGGCCTCACCCTCCCTGGGGAAATGAGGGGATAATGGGGGTGGGGGTGGGGGGAGGGCACAGGAGGAGGGGAGGGAAAGGGAGAGGGACCTGGAACTGACTTGTGAAGCAACCTTGTTTCTTATCTAAATTTAAACTGAAAAATAAATAAATAAATAAATAAATAAAAGAAAGTTGTCCCCAATCACATGTGGTACGACACCATCATGCCCTCAGTCACACACACACAAATAATAACATTGAACATTATTGAATTATTGTTATAAATTAAATGTGAATAAATAAGGGGCTGGAGAGATAGCTCAGTGGTTAAGAGCACTAACAGCCCTTCCAGAGGACCCGGGTTTGATTCCCAGCACTCACATTGTGGCTTACAACCACCTGTAACTCCAGTTCAGGGGATTCAATGCCCTCTCCATGGGCACTAGGCATGCATGTGATGCACAGACATACATACATGCAGACAAAACTCCTGTACACATACATTTTTAAGTGTAATATTTAGTTGAAGAAATATTGGGTTAACTTGTCTTTAGTTTCTAATTATATGGTATAATCAATACATATTAAAATATGCACATAATTATACATACTTGGTGTAGGTCACAGGATGATAACTTGATATTGTTTACAATGTATATTGATCAAATCTGGGTAGATAGTATTTTCATCAACCTAATCCTAAACATTTATAATTTCTTTGGTTTAGAGATTTAATTGCACTTTTGAAATCATGAATGAACCAATTGAGCATTGTAAATTATTCAAGTAACTTCAAAGCACATATAGTAACACCTAAAAGTACCTTCCATCTTCCAGTAGAGACAGATGTTAAGAATTAGGCCTGTATAACTTTAGAATTTTTCTAGGTACATATGGACAGCAAGGTTAGCTTTAATATGATCTCACATTAACATTAACACCTACACATTCACACACACACACACACACAACTTGCAATCACACCATATTCCATTCTATTTCTTGTATATGGCATATTAGTGCTATCTCTTGTTAATAGCCACATGGTAGTATATAAAGAACATGAAAAAGATGTTAATTAATATTGTTATTAATATTGTACACAATATTGCTGTGGGTATTCTTGATTAGGATTCTAGCTCACATATGTAATTATTTTTATAATATATATCCCCAGAAGAAAATTGCTGAATCAATTGGTACAGAGTCTTTCCAGATTATCTTCTTGTTTTAGTGTGTGCTCTTACCTGACAGCACTTGTGAGACTCTTTCCTTTCACCTTCATCATCGTTGGATGTTATTATTTATTTTACAAACTGCCTTCTGATTTGATCACAGAAGACTTTAATAATCACGGGTTTTCTAAGCCTATCACTCATCTCTTGATTGGGAATGCTATCCTGCCAGGTTAGAAACCTGGGTGTGAGTTTACTAGATCCTTGTCTTACCACTTCTATTTTTATTTATAAAGGAGATTACAAGGGAGATGGTTCAGTGGTTCAGAGCATTTCATACTGTTATAGAGGACCCAGATTCAGTTCCTAGAACCTATATCAGAAATCTCAAATCACCTGTAACTCCAACTCTAGAGAATCTGACACTGTCTTCTGGCCTCCACGGGCACACAGTACACATACAGATAAACACACACACACACACACACACACACACACACAAATGACTGTGATTTAACTTAGATTAGATGATTCATGTCCTTCCATATTGAACCCACATCTCCCTGTCATATCAACTTGAGGAAAGATATGTGGGTCTTAGGGACTCTTACAATAGAAGTGGGTGTAGCTGAGTAAAAATCTTATATATTCAGAATCCATGTTCTACCCACTATTTCTCATTCCTTTCCTTTGGAACAGATAACCATTAAATAATTTGTTTTTCCTTCTTCTGTATTGTCTACTGTCTCCAGAGAACCTCATTGGTTGCTCAGTGAGGTGAGTTTACAAACACAGTAACTCATGGGTTATAGAGGTCTCGATTTTGCATACAAGATATTTTTGCAATTTGAATATTTACTATGTAACAACACAAAGTAACCGAATGTATTAAATTGAGCCTGGCAGGCTGCTGCAAGGTCTAGTGATGATCTTATCTATCAAGTGTCAGTGTCAGAATTGGGATCAGACCTGTCAGCTCTCAAGCCTTGTCCGTGTACCCTGTGAACTCTGCCTCATAGACCAGAAATGCTTGTGGAAGATCAATGCATTCTTTCCTGATAGTCGAGTTTCTTTATAGACATGGTAAGCCAGATTCTCAGGAGGCTACACGCTGAGCATGGAATCAGAGTAGGGCAGGTTCAGGGGTTTTCTTAAGCTAATTTGAGCTCAAGTAGCTGAAGGCATGCTTACTATTGGGGAGGGTCACACACTAAAAGCCAAAAAAGCCCAGAGGAATGTAACAGCGATGACTAGAGGAGGTCAGAGAGCAGGGAACAATTGGGACGGTGGCAATAGGGACCGTACATGTCCTTCTGAAGAAGCAGCCATGTTTTTACTATGCCAGCCCCTTAGGGCAAGTCTGGCCGACCCAGGTCTTGCCACTTTTTCAAAAAAAGCTAGGAGGCTACATTTTCAATGCGAAATTGGGTGACAATTTCTTTAATTTAAAAGTTACAGTGAATCAGTACAGACTTAACTGACCAAATACTGGTCTGTCACTCTTCACTATAAGAAAAATCTTTCTGCCAGAAAACATCAACGCATTAAGTTGCCTAGAAATGGCTCCTTCGTGGCTAGACAAACTCAGGGTGACTTTCTTCTGTTTTTATCATCATCTTTGATAGACGAACTCATTAATATTTATTCTCCATATAGAAGATAGTCGTTTTAGATTTCTATGATATCTTTAGTGTGTGTGTGTGTGTGTGTGTGTGTGTGTGTGTGTGTATGTCTGTATGTGTGAGGGGGGGAGAGGGAGAGGGAGAGAGTATGTGAATGTGTGGGGGTTGAGAGTGCCATGGTATGTAGCTGGAGCTCAGAAAGAACCTGTGGTAGTCCATTTTCTTCTTCAACCATGTGGGTCCTGGAAATTGAACTCAGGTCTTCAGGCTAGCAGCAGCTGCCTCTACCTGGTGAAACATCTCCTCAACCTTAGAAAAGAATATTTATTTCAACTTTATTTCTTTTTGACAAACTGAATATATTTATATTTCATCTATATTTCCTTGGGAAGATTTCCAGCTCAACGTTTAAGTGGACTCACCAGATTTTCAGATGACATCTCAATTTCCAAGTCATTGAGGGTCTTTCACTGCTACAGTAGAGGGACGGCAAACCTGTCTCACTTTTCAGAACTAAAAAAAATGAAAATACATACAAATCATTTTATTGGCTCATGTACTTGTTTACCTTTTGTTGATGTGATAAAATAGCATCACCAAAGCAACTTTTGGGAAAAAAAAAGAGTTCAGTTTTGGTTCTAGCAGTGGGCACAGAAGCAAAGGACGGTTGCAGTGGCAGAGCAGAAAGCTGAAAGAACACAGCAAACATGGAGCAGAGGGAAACAGCTGGGAGTGGCGCAGAGCTAGAGCACACTCTTCACAGCAAACATGGAGCAGAGGGAAACAGCTGGGAGTGGTGCAGAGCTAGGGGCTCAAGCTCAAGACAGTGACACACACTCTGCTGCACGGCTGTGTCTCTTGAACCTCCTCCAATGCTACTACCAACCAGGAACAGTGTATAAGCCTATTATGGGGGTGGGGTGGGGTGGGGATGGGGGGTGTCTCATTCCAACTACCACAGGTCTATAATGTGGCTTTAGTTAGTGTGTTACAAGCCATCTCCTGCAGAATCCTCAGTCTGGAAATATATGCTTTCCAATGAAGCGTTAACAGGTTGCAGAGGCTTCTTAAAAACCGTGACACAGGGCAGCAACAGGATGTCCAGGAAAAGTCCCGGTGAGGTCCAGCACTGACTGCCCAACAGAGACCAGGCGTTTCCATAAACGCCTGCATGTAAAAATATATGGATAAACGGATTTGCTTAGTGACTCACTGTCACACTACAGCTTCCATGAGGAGATTTCCCCCTTCTTCCTTTTTCTTGTCCTCTTTTTCTCTTAAATTGTATTTTGTTTTATTTTGGGGTGGGGCAGGAGATGGGTGGGATCTGGAGGAATGATGTGAAAGACACACATACTCTATTTTAAAAACACACACTCACAAAAAAATTGTATTAATGCTGGGTGTGGTAATACACACCTTTAATTCTACCATCCAGGAGCCAGAGGAAGGGTGATCTCTGTGAATTGGAGGCCAACCTGGTCTGTGTACAGAGTTCCAGGCTAGTGGAGGCTATATAGGGAGACCATATCTCAAAAAAAATGTTATGTCAGCTTACCCCCCAAACCTTGTGGAGTTTCATTCCTTAAACTTGGATGTTGAATGTGGTAAACAGACATGAGCTTGAATCCTGTGCTCTTAGTCCTAAAATCTTTGGTGGATTGGTAATTTCCTGAGTCCAATTCTTAAACCACAAGTGAAGAATAGCAGCAGAATTCTCCCACTAGCGTTAGTGTGTGGTTTAGACGAGATAACATATGATATATATATAATAAAGACATGTGTTGTAATCTTTCAATAAATGGTAGCTGTTAATGCTCTTCACTTGGTTACCTGTTAGAGGGTAAATCTATGGCAATAGGAACGTACACTGAAGACACCGTCTCCTTTGCTAGACCGGAAGTGAAAATAGCTATAAACATCGACAGGAAAAGGCTGTGACAGCAGTCTCCGTGGGGACACAACCGGATCCGTGACCACCTGGTCTCCACGGTGAGGATAGGGAATAGATGGAGCAGACAGGAAGAGCAGCTTCCTCAGCTTCTTAACCAGCGCTTCACACCCTCTAAGCTGCAGGCATCACAGCCACAGGCTGGGGATGATGGATGCAATTATCTCCCAGCCCTTTGAAGCTCTGGCCCAGTGGATTTGTTGTCGCTATCACATGCGATTAGGATAGCAATGCCTTCCTGCAAAGGACGGAATCCTTTGTACCTCACCCTCCTCCTGCCACTGGCAAAGAGCTCGGAGTGGGAAGAAGGGGGCAGCTGGCCCCTCTCCTCTTGGTCCAATTTCACACATTGGTTTTTTTTTAACATTAATAAATTGGTTACATTTGCCCTGCATTTGGCGGGCAAGGTTTCTAATAACACTCCGGTCCCTTCAGAGAATGGGAATGACTGGCATGCAGTGGGCTCTGGCTACCTCCTCCCCCACTCTCTACCACTACAGGTCCTGAACACTAGCAGAGGTCAGACGCTTGCCTGCACCGGGGCAGTCTAGGACAAGGGCCATGGCTTCGAGGCACTGTCACAGAGCTCAGAAATGTTTCCCTCAGAGGGAGAACAGATAAGCTTTAAGCCCGGGCCATGTGCAGCTTTCTTCAGCTGTCAATCCTATCTGGTTTGCATATAGATTGAGAAAATGTGTGAGATTTTACCACAATAATCAGTCTGGAGAATTCAAGAAGTGTGTGTGGTGGGGGGGGGGTGGTGAGAGGGGGAAAATGTGTGATGCAGATGTGAGCGATCTGGGTCGGCTGAAACGGCTGCCTTTGTGAGGGTGGGGATAGGAAGCCTGAATGAAGACAGTGTGTAAAGGCATCCTTCTTTTTGCCTTGAGTTAGGTACCTGAAAGATCTCTGAGCAAGGAGAAGCCCTTGAACAGACAGCAGATTGAGAGTCAGAGCCAGCCATACCGTCATCCTCCAGCCAAGGAGACAGGGAAGCCAGGGAAGGAAACAAGCTCAGGAGAACATTAGCCGGCCTGGAACAGATAGGGGATTCAAGGGAGGGACATGAAGAGGGGAAATGGAAGAAGGACAAAGAACTTCACTTAAATTCAAAAGGGATTTTATGTTTGCCCCTATTTGAGAGAAACAAAGGGGTTTTAGATACCATAAATGTATTGAATCCAGTCCTTGCCATCCAGAAGTTTGCAGACCATTAAAAACTAGCCTTCAGAACTTGGTCCCAGGAGAGTATGTGACAGGATGCAATCCAGGAATCAGTGCCATGATGTGTGCTAAGGAAGGGGGCAGGTTATGCAGGAAAGACTCATGGAGGAGTTGGATCCATAGAGCACCCTAGGACAGAGTGGATAGGTGGAGATAGGCAAAAGTATGAAGAGGGGATTCCTTGATGGGATTTGTAGTACAGAAAAGCAAGAAGGGGAAGTCAAGTGGAGGGACAGGAAGACACAAAAGGAAAGGAGGAGAGACAGAAGGTGAAGGCCTAACTATGGCAGCTGCCACAGGCCAACTTACCCTTACCTCAGGCTATTCATCCAAAGGAAGCTGAAGCTTCTCATGAGTCCTGCGTCAACCCAGGCAATCCACCCAGCAACACTTCGACCCAGCTCCGGGGATTTAAAGGAAAAAACCCAAGCAGTGCCCTTGCCAACTCCAGGCTAGCCTCTCTGCAGAGAGCCCAGCCTGAACCCTGGAACCACTAACACAGCACGGTCACCTGGGGGATCTCAGGGTAACTCCTGCTCATGGTTTTGTATATCCTGTCATTCTATCTATGGCATGCATAATTCCCGGGGGCGGGGGGGGGGGACGACTTTTCCTTCTCTGTTTCCCTTACCATTTATTTATAGGATTTTCAACTTTTTACAAAATCTGAGAGAGTAAAATGCTGAACACAGTTCTATTCGGAATGTTCCACCAATTAGCATTTGGGTCCACTCAGAGTGCCAGGGTAACAGAGTGGGTCAAGTAGCCCTTGTTTGTGGCATTTGCCAGTTTCTGGGTGTAGAAACTCTCCCCATGAATACTAGCAAGAGTTTCATGAATGGCCTGGAAATTTCCTGAATATTTATCTGCTCACAGGAGCTGGTGGAAGTGAACTCTATCTAGCCCATCATGTTTTTTCTGAACTGTTTTAAATACCTTGCAGATATCATGGAACTAAACCAAGTCCTTCATTCAGTGTGCATGTACGAAGATTATGGACCTTCTTCAACCAATCACTTCGTTATGGGCTTAAGAAAAAACAATCTATATATTTCTTAATACTATCTAACATACATTTCCCACTAAAAATTTTTATCTGCATCACAAATGTATTTTAATGGTATTTTAGAGTTGTATTTGATATTTTAGTTTCTTTTTATAATTTTTATTAAAAACTGACAAATATTTGTGCATATATGTGGGCACATTGTCATATTTTGATATATGTACATATTGTGGAACAACTGTATCAACATATCTGTCTCCTCAAATATCATTTTATAATCTTTAAGTCAGGTAATTTATATTTGTACAGTGGTTTTTAAATACGCAATTATCATTATTAACTATGGTCAGAGCGTTACACAATAACTCAAAGACATGTGCCTCCTGGCTAGCTTCTGCCAATTTCTCCCAATTCTCTAGCAAACTACTCAACATCTGGAAAGTACAATTCTTCTGTCTTGCAGAGCCCAAGACAACTGTTAGTAAAAAAGAGTCATTTTAAAATTTACATGGCTTTTCCTCATAACTAAGTTCAACTTGAACATTTTCTGACAAAAATATTCTGTGAATTTCTCTCCTGTCAGACATGGGTCATCAAAAAATGATTTCAGATTGTTCCACTATTAGCTACACTCAGAGCTTAAAGCCCTAAGCACTAAATATCTTCTCTGAAAAGGTGCCTGCTTTCCTTTGCAATTCTTAAATCATTTGTAGATAACAGATTCACCAGGAAGCATGGATATTTTACTACCAAGAATCTTTCACTTGGAGGTTAGCATCTGCTAACAATCTTCTGAATCATTAGTTACATCAGGTGTCAAAATATAGTCACCAATTCTAACATTCTTTTCTATTAGGTGACATTCTTATTTAAGAAGTACTTCTTTTTACATTACTGTTGACTCATGAACCTTAAAAATTCAAATGTATGATAATCCATTACTATCCTTTTCTCCTTAATGTTTAAATTACCTCAAACATGGCCAGCGGGAACCCCTTCAAATGAGATCCCATGTCCTTTTGACAGAACTTCATTAATCTTTAAGCATTTCCTTTCTTGCTTACACACAAAGATTTCCCAGGCTTACATGTGTTTGCCCTATATTGTGGCGGGGGAGAAGCAATTATTTCTTCAAAGACTTTTGATTTCTTTAGTAGAAAACAGTACTTGGAGATGAAGATCTGGGTACTAAGAATGCTTATTGCTTGTTGCTTTGTGATCCATTGGTGAGTGGATATGATTGGAGGAAATATATACATGTACTACACACAGTACAATCATGCATCGTTTAATAATAAGGATATATTTGGAAAACCCCTCTATTGTGTGATGTTGTTACTATGCTAACATCATAGACTATGCTTATGAAATTACCTGCGGGTAGTTACAGTGTCAGAATGCAATATAAGCTATTATAGCACCAACATTATTTACACAATTAATGACCTGTTACTAACTGAAACATTGTCCTGCAGTAGTGCATAACTGTATGTGTAATTTTATAAATGACCTCAAATGCAGTATATGTTTTATAAATGAAATTAAGCAAAATAAAGATTATAGGTAAAGAAAACATATTTCTCTTCTCTAAAAATCTCAAAATATGGTCTTATTAGAAATAAGGTCTTTGCAGAAATAATTCAGGTAAGAAAAATGTGGCTACTGTCCAGTAGACTAGTATGCTTACAAAAAGAGAAATTGGACACAGACATGTAGGGAGACAAGATTTTCTGAGGACACAGGCAGAAGACAGTCACCTACACGCCAAGTGAAGATACCTGGAATGTATCCTTGCCTCATAGTTCTCTGGATGAACACATGCTGCTAAAGCTTTGGTTTTGGATAGAGGCCAAGAGAGTAGATGTCTGGTTAAATCACCAAGTTTGTGAACTTTTGTTCTGGAAGATAGAGCAAACTAATACATTAGGATAGAAAAGTATCACAGATTTAGTAGTGAAAAGCAACATGCATTTATCTTACATTTCTTGACATTATAGGTATGGTATGCATCCCAGTAGAATAAAATCAGTGTATCCTTGGGACTCCATTGCTTGTTGACGGTTCTAGGAGAGGCAGTTTCCCTGTTTATTGCAGTTTTTGCAATGATTTTGTCTTTTTTTTGGTGGAAAGATGAAAATCTCTGTCTCTTTTCTATTAGTTGAGGGAATTCCTAGCTTTTTGAGGCCACTTTTACGCTTTGAGATATATCAGTCTTCTTTCAGCTCCAGAATCAGATGTCCATTCGTGGATAAATTGATAATGAAAATGTGGTGCATTACACACTGAATTAGGAAGGTTTGAACAGGGTGGAGTATGAAAGGGCTGGACAAAAGAGGTAATGCAGGAAGGGATAGCTAACACTAAAGACCTTCTGAAAAACGACTGCAGAATGGTCTTGAAATACAAACAGATACATACATAAAAAGAATATAAGTGGAGTTGTTCTGACGGCAAAGAAAAAGGTCACATCAGGAATGGGTTTCCTTCATTGGGATTGACGGCTCTAAGTTCCTATAGATACCCCAGTACCAATAGCAGGCTATTGTCATTGCTCTTAGTTACCTTCAAGGACTTCACAGTTCTATATTGTTCTTGAGTACATAATATACCTGAGTCATAGAAGATGGAGAAATCAAGCTGGTATTGACCTGGAATTTTAACCCTACTGTTTAGTTTTCATAGTGCTGGAAGATGATGCTATTCATCCAACTAGTGGAGAAAAATAATCATCAAGGGATGACTATATATCTAAATTTATTAAGTGTGATTTAAAACAGTAACAGCAGCCAAGTCATGCCTGAGAATCCACTAGTTGCTCTGTCCTTGAGGATAAATTCCTCAACAGCCAGATTGGTCCCAGAATGACCATCTCTCACTCTGGGTGACAACCAGCAGTTACTCATTCCGCAAGACAGGGTGCTTTATTAGTCCCAATCTGATGTCAATAGTACAGAAGCATCCTGGAGGCCACTGGTCCCTATTCTACCATGATAGCCTGGATGTGCTGGTTCTACTATCATGAAGGGAATCAACAGCATCAGCGTTAGCAGCAGCAGCAGCAGCAGCAAAAAAGGGAAAATCAACTCAGAAGCAAGAGAAAAGGCCAAGGAAGCAAAAGGTGAGATAAACTTCCTTCTGCCACAACCTTTATTATCTGGGCTTA